GTGGGAAAGGAAAGGTAAAATATGCAATATTCAACATGCCTCATGTAAGTTGTTAATTTTCTTTGCTGGTGTTTGAAAATGTTAGCTAACTGCAAAATAGTTTTCGATAGGAGTTAAACTTCATTTTCCGACTTGTCCAGTAACGAAAGACGAGTATATTATTCTGAGAATGTATTGTTATTGAATCATGTCTAAACTGAATATTCTGGTTCATTGGGTAAACAAAATAATTTTACCAAACATAAATTTGAACACCTCTCAAATTTGGCTAGAAATTTTTTAATGCAACTTTTTGAGATTTCAAATTTCTGAAAACATCAAGTCCTCATTTGCTTATTCAGAGTCCAAAAGTGTGATTTTTGGCTAATTCTGGACCAAGTGATACCATGGTATCAACAACAACAACCGTGGCATAGTGCGTCAAGATGCACTAATTAAAAGTGCAAATGCATTTTTAGTACTGGAAAACATTAAAGGTGTAACACAATAAATAGACTAGACCACCGTACATGAAGGGAAGAAAATCAAAAGTTTAAGTGCAAATTAGTGACCAGACCATAATCAATTAATCATAATCCGCTGATCTTGTTGGCCGGAAATATGATAATGCGACCAATTTTGATAATTAAGGTTAGAATATACACTTGTTTTGCTGTTCATGCGGCTGGTGATTTTAGCCAAGATGGCGACCAATAGGCGAGACGTTAGATCAATGATAACTAATCTTCAAGTAATTTCTGGCTAATAATCACAAGTATTAGCACGGGATGACACGTTTCTACTGAATTGAATTGTAACTGGTTGATCAAATGCTGTTTTCAAAGGAAAAATACCGAAATTATCGGTGCTGCAATTTGAAAAGTTGTAGGCATCTCTATCAACTATTAATAGACTGTGTTTTTATATAAATCAATCTTTCAACCTAATCCTATTCTTATCTCTAAAGTTTAGAAATACCCTCGTGATTTCTTAAAATCTCACGTGTTTACGTTGTGTTTGCAATTTTGAAATGATCTGTGATGTACTGCTTATCGTCCCTTTTCCAAATGAAGAACAAAATTTCAATAGTCTCTTGGAATGATGTCAATGTTAGACTAGTCTCCCGATTTGACGCGTCAATAGACTTTAGTCGTTTCTGAAAGCTATATAATGGCCTTATTGGCCTAAAACACATATGGTTTTACGTTTAAATGTTTTTCATGTGCTGTATTATATGGTATATAGCTTTGCACGTATACTGCATATTTGCTTGGATAAATAGCTGTTAGACCATTCCATTGTGACTTGTCAATAAAGACTTTCAGCTACGACTTGCCAAAGTTAGACGTTGGACTTTCCAGTACGTTGTGTGGAGGTGAGTCTCTTATTATTAGCTATAGAGAGGTTTCAAACAAAACTAAACAAGTAAAAGGGATAATATTAGAAACCTCCCTTGAGGTTCCTCTAAAAATCACTTCGCACTCCTAAGATTTTAGAAGTATCACTTATCTCTCCTAATAATTGTAAAAAGACTATATTAACTCTTACTTGACACATAATTCACAACACATCAAATAAATGGAGCACAAAAATTTAAAAAAAAAAAGAAACAAAAGTCACTTTTTGCTTTTTTCCTTTGCACCATCATTCTTTCTTACTCATTTTTTGGATGACTATGCAATATTTTATTTGTAAATGATAACAAATTGAATTTTGTTTATCTTTTACTTTTTGTTATTATGATAAAGTGGGGTATATTTATTTGCTTAGTTTGAATTGATTTTCATAATGATTTGAGCAAGAGTTGGGAAGATGTTGGGAAAAAAATATAAATTTGATAAGAAATCGTTTTAAGCATATACAGTTAAATTGATGTAAGTGTATTACTTTTCAAATATCTTTTTTATTTTTCAAATTTATATTTTAATGGGGTATAACATTATGATGTACTAGTACTATAAGAGATTGTTTTAAGGTGATAGTTTTCTTAAAGTGAACAAAGTAGTTTAGGAATATTTTTATTTAGAAAGCGAAAGGGTAGTTTAGGGTTTTTAAAAATTTTGTCACACAAATAACAAAAGTAACCGAGGTTTTTGATATTATCCCCCAGTAAAACGATCAATTTGGGATTATTGAAAAATAAATATATTAAGCCTCAATTTAGTTGATAGAAACATTAACCAAATAATGATGAGCTTTCAATTCGACTTTCAATTCCTCCCAATTCTCTAATCTTATTCATAAGGTTTAAATTAGTCTTTTGAAAATCAGACCGGACTGGCCGGTTCCATCGGTTGAACCGCGAACCGGCCAAGGCACCGGTCCAATTCTATACTAAAGTTGACTTTGTAAGAAAATCGGTCAAAATCGATGAACCGGGGTTGAATCGATGGTTTCGGATTTTTCAATTTTTCCCTCAATATTTTTTTAAATTTTGCAAAACACAACTGCCAAGGATTGAACTCAAGATCTTTGTGATAGAAAACCAATATAGTAACCATTGTACCGTTGCATCCTATAAGTTTTTTTGATAAATCATTTTTATAAAATAAACATCCATCTTTTTTTTTTCCATTTTTCTTACAAAATCTAATCCTCCGGTGACTCTTTCTTTCTAATTTTCAACTCTCTCTCTCTCTCTCTCTCTCTCTCTCCCTCCCTCTCTCTCTCTCTCTCTCTCTCCCCCCTCCTTTCTTTTGTCATTCCATTTTTAATCAAATCTCTTTAGTTTTAATTTATTGATATTTTCTTCCACCTTTTAATTTTATTTTTGTCCATTAAATTGAAAAAATTTAAAAAAAAAAGAATTATTTTTCTTTAACGTTAAAGACTAATTATTAAATGCCACAACCACTCACTTTTACCTTATTTTTTGTTTCTTATCAAGTTTAAATTTCTATTTTCAATTTTCCTGACTTCTTTCAAACTCCAAACTTCTTTTTTTTTGTTTAATTGCAATCTCTAAATCCCAAAAATATAAATTAAAATTTAAACACACAATGTGTAAATTCCCATTGACACGAATTTTGTATAATTTTAAAATATTGTGGTATTTTTGGGGGGTGGATTTAAGATTATTTTTTGGTAGATATAATTGAGATTGTGATAAAATTTATTTGTTTCAACTTATAATTTAAAAAATTTTATTTTTGAAAATCCAAGTTATTTGAAAATATTAAATTTTTCATCATATAAAGTTTTAAATTAGTCCATTGCATGTCTTATATATATATATATATATATATATATATATATATATATATATATATATATATATATATATATATATTTATATAAATTATTTTTTTAAAAATTCATTAAACCAGGGTTGAATCGGTCCGACCAGTTGAACTTTGATTCAAATACCTCACCGGTTCAGTTAATGGTCTGAGTTTTAAAACATTGGGTTTAATGCCTACCTTCGAACTAAACAGAAATTAAGTACTTTCTTTATCTTTGCCAAACGGTTGATAAAGAGAACTGAGAAGCGGACGAGTGAGAGATTTGCCAATTAACACGGTAATCATTGACCAAAAGCAAAAAGTAAAAGAGAAAATCTTGGTCTAATCTACCCCTAAACCCAAGTAAAAGATTTAATTGGATATTTCTGGACTTTTGAGGCAATTCAGCTTGAGTTTGTTCAAAAAAAAGAATTTTTCTTTTTTGGGATACATGCATGTTACTATTGTTGTAAAGAGAAATTTACACTCATAATTTCACTATCAGAACAAATCTATTTCATATTATTTAATCATCGTGTGATTAAATAAATCTTCGTTCCATCAAACACGAGCACCAATTGCAACAATAAATTGTACTTTGATTTTCTAAAACGTTTCACGCCATGGTTTAGACACGTAGACTTTTCAGAATTTTATTGCTGTCTTCTTGCTTATGGAGAATATTTAACTTCTCCTTCATTTTGTGAAATTATGAAACTAGCTTGTAATATTTTCTTGTGGGTACCAATAGCAAGTTAGCAACTATAACTTGGTTTAATTAAATCATCAGCTTGGTCCTAATAATAACATACCTCTTTATCTTAAAACGTGGAATTAACTCATTAACCTTATCTAATCTTGCAATTGACACAGCATGATGGTGATTTCTTGAGGATTAGCATCGAATTGGATGACACGTACGATGATATCCATGAAAAGGCCAAGGTGATCAGAAAGGTTAAAATATATATTATTTTGTCGAACTATAATAATTAGTTAGATATGGTTGGAAAAACACATTATTGTTATTACCTGAAACGTTAAGCTCCTAGATTTACAACAACAAAAAAAACTCTATTGGTTGAACTTGACTGTATAGAGGACAAATGATGACTATTAACTTTCAGATTTCATTGAGAGACAATTTATGTTTTTGCCAAACATTATTGATCCTTCAGATCTATTATTTCCGCGACATGTTTGATAATGTATTTTCTGTGATTAGTACAGAGCTCATAAACGAAATGATGATTTCTGTTTTATATATATATATATATAAGCAATCTCTAATTCTTTAACCTTTCTTAATTACAGGTTTAATTAAATAATTTGATGATAGGTAGAGGTATTACTTCATTCCCAGTGTAGCTCAGTAATTTATTCATTTCTTTTCCCTTTCTAACCTTCTTTTTCACCCTTTATACAAGTGTACAAGAGTAATATGACCAACTCATTCTTTACAAACTCTTTACCTAATCAACATGATTATGGGCCTTAAAACAACGGCAGTATGCCAAATCTGTTTTCCCACCCTTAGTCTGTTTATTCCCCACATTTCAGAAAGTTTTTTTTTTCCTTAGTCCTAAATATATATTTTTTTCAAGCCAATCATTTAACTTTTTAATAATAAAGAAATAAAAAGATTGAATGGTCCAGAAATTGTTGCCAATAAGTAGTATTTAGAAGCTTTATATTTCTAAAAAGCTACAATAACACTCGAACAAGAACTGATCGTAAGACCTTTCGGCAATTATAAAAACATGAAGTACAACGATTCAAGAAAGTAATTTGTAAACAACATTTTCAGCTTGAGACCATGGTTATCGTTTGCTTGAATTTGCATCCATCACGCTAGCTGGACAAGATTGACGTTTAACCTACTTTACATTCTTTTTTGTGCTTCATAACAATATAATTTCCTTCAAAACAATTAATTAAATCTCTTCCCTTATTTACAAACCAACAACACTTTCTCTGAAAAGAAATCATACACAAGACTCTCAAAAAACTCAACTACCACCATCACTTCTCATAATTTAGAGCAAAACCTAAGACATCTAGCTTGCAAAATTGACAATAAAATTATGACTACAAGACTTTAATCATGGTTGCTGGGAGCAAGGTTTTCAAATTATCCGAGAAATCAAAGGTAAGCATGGAGGCCTTGGGCCTTGATGGCCTGATTTTCATATGCAATTCAGGCAAGATTGATGTTGGTCGTTGCTTTTCAGGTTTGCCAAGCCACTTCGCTTGCATGTATTTATGCTTCCTCCATGGTGCCATATGCATTTTATTCTCCTTCATGCACTTCTTTGATGCAGAACACAGTATTTTGATCAGAGTTTTGAGTCTTTCAGTCTTTCCAATATATACATCGGGCAATCGTTCAAGCAGCCGGTTATATTCCTCACAACCTCTTGCCATCATGAATTCTGACTTGAAATTCAACTCAATGATCACCTTCACTTCACCTTTAGATGTTGTGTTTTGAACAACTTCCAAGTAGGTATGCTCCCCTAAACAATTAGCAAGATTTGGTTTAGTTAAGAAGACTAATAAGATAGCATCTATTGTTTCATATCAATTTGAAGTCAAGAAAAACACACAACACACGCAAAAAAACAAAAACCATCAAATGTTGTAACGTGCTTTATTAGCCATCATTAGGAAAGATACGTGCAAAATTGTTCTGAAACTTCAACTAATTGTACGTATTGCTATATATAGAACCATTACAGATAAGTAAGGTCCACTCAATGGATAAAGATGTGCATATGGGTAAAGTTTCCAACGTATATAGTAGTAATTTAAACATTTTATTCCCAAAAGTGTGACATGCTGGACCCAAAGAATGAGAGACGCTTAGGGACCACATTTCTAGCACTAAAGTAGAAAATTTGGTCCTAACAAATGAAATTTAGTAAGCAAAATGCTACTCATAATAGTTTATTTTGTTTCAATCGCATAATGTCAATTCAATTAAGTAATAATAAATTTAACTCAACCTACCGGCCGGAATTTCCTGTGAGCTTTTCCACTTGGACTTGCAAATGGAGCAACTAAATCCATCTTTCTGAAGCCGATCGCAGACTTCTTTCAGCATGCATTTCCGGCAGCCATCAACAGCCCTATTCTGGCAGGCACAATTAACACAAATGGTATTTAACTCCATTAAAGCTTCCTTTGTTGCCTTCCTGATTTTTGATTCAAAAGAAGTGGTCCTACGTAAAGTTGACTGCATTCGAAAACAACCAAGAATATGAATGTAAAATTTCAATTCATATTAAACAAAGGAAAACAGAATCAAGAAAAAGCAGCCAAATATATATGTCGTAAATTACCAGCAAAGGCTCCTCTTGGGAATCCCAAAAGGCCTTGGCCGCATCAGCCTTACAACCATTTCCTTCGGTGTCAGCAGCCGCTGCCGCCGCCGCCTCGTCATCCTCCTCCTCAGCCTCATGATAAACGCCTTCTCCACCATCAAAGCCAGTGCTAGAAGAACCACATGATGAGCTACCAGATGAAAACTCCTCAACTTCATCAAAGAAGTGAAAAATCATTTCCCCAACATCTCGGGATTCATAAATATTCGTATCACCAAATTTTGCTGCTATTGCCATGATAATGATTTCTTGAGATGCTATGGAATGAAACTGCTTTTGCTACATGAAATTTAGCAAGAAAGAAATGCACATGAAAAATGGTCCTAGAGGCCAAGGTATTTATATAGAGAGAGGGGCACATTCGGGCCCAAAGATGACTCACTAGTGACTTAGCATACTGGCCGCCGCGGCGCTCATGATTATCTATATATTTTCTTGGAAGGCATTCCTCTACACGACCAGACTAGGAATAATTGATGTAAAACAAATGTGGATATTCTATAGCTTGTTAGTGAATATAGGATGTACCCTTTTCTATGCCAAGCAAATATGAAATTACCGCTAGTCATATTCAAATTTACTCCAACAGGGTATATTATGCACTCTTTAACTAGGTTCTGTAGGATACAAGTAATATTCAAGTGGAATATTCAGTCAATCATTTCCAAAATACTCTATTATTAAGTATAACATAGTTAATGTACAGTTACAGTATCACCTTTATCCTTTCTCTTGGGTCTAGATACCCCTTGTAGTTACGGGTGCAAACTAAAATCACGGTTGGCACTTTTAACGATTAAGATTGATCTGATTCAAGATCATTTTTAAATCTGTTCAGCCGATCTCGATCGTTAAAAGTCCTTTGTGGTTACACTTGCTGTCGCAGAGGATCCGCATCCCCTTTTTTAAATAATTAACTTATTTGTTTAAGCATATTAAATGGCTTGAATAATGGGAAGTGGAAGCTCATTAATTGTAATTATGATTTCATTTGTAGGCTTAAATTCCAATGTTCACGAGTTTTTGGCCAAAACCCTCTACTTCTCAAAGAATAATCCCAAAGTCATTCTTTTTCTATTTTTATTCCCTTGTTAATCCATTTATTGCCACATAGGATCCCTATTAAAAGAAAAGAATCACTTGTAATTATTTTTTCTCTTATATTACAAGCTTTTTTTGTTTCTATTTGGCGCCCCAGGTAAGTAAATCCATATTAATTAATGCTTTAAAATTATCAACTATCCCTTGAATTGCAACAATTTTGCAGAAGAAATTTACCCTTTCATGGAAACAATAATGACAGTCTCACTATTGTGTATTCTTATGGCATCACCGCATCGGATAGCAAGCGCATTTACATATATATCCTATCTTCTAGCTATATCTCGCTTTTATTGTTTTGTTGTGAGTTTTTGGCCAAAACAATCTACTTCTCATAAAATAATCCCAAAGTAATTCTCTTTTTGTTTTTATTCCCTTATTAATCCATTTATTGCCACATAGGATCCCTATTAAAAGAAAAGAATCACTTATAATTATTTTTCCCTTATATTACAAGTTTTTTTTTGTTTCTATTTGGTGCCCCAAGAAAGTAAATCCATATTAATTAATGCTTTAAAATTATCAACAATCCCTTGAATTGCAACAATTTTGCAGAAGAAATTTAAGAAAAGAGCAGAAACACATATGGTTTTTTTTGGTGTTAACTTCTTCTGAATTTTATCTTCTTCTTTTTTCTTTTTTCTTTTTAAGGTAGCTGCATAAACTTTTCTTCCTTTTTTTGGATAAAAAAAATAACTTATAGGTATATTTTATAGAAGTAGGTTGATAGGTTGGCTCCTATCCTCATTTGCCAGAAGGATAGGACATTAGCACCAATTGTCACTTACTACTTAGTAGATTCAAGAAACGTTAGAATGGACATTCCAATTGCTTATGCGAACACTAGTAGGAGAACAGAAATGGCCCTTGGGCATCGGAATTATTCCCATTTCCAGATCTCATTTTTCTTAGTTTATTTCCTTCAAAATGGACCTTCCCATGCTGCAGGCACAAGTGCATGACTAAATTCACAACTATGAACCTGCCCATCCTGCTGATATAAGATACTTTCTTGGAGCTATCTGAGAGACATCAAGGTTCTATTATCACTGTTGAGGATGAACAGATTAATACCTGTCCCAGCTGTCCCTCTTTGTCTCTCTATCTCTCCCTCTTTCTATCTTTTCAAAAAAAAAGAATGATCCATTCAGGCTACTAGATTGTAGAGAGGACAAAATGGCTTAATAATTTTGTCTGTAATTTGCACTTTAAACCCCAAGGTTTGCTTAATATCTCTTTGCCCCTTGAGTTATTGAATGTAGGCAGACTATTTTGGCTTACAGTTTCTTTAAAATGATTTATGTTTAATTGCTTTGACCAGCTAAAAGAACAGTGACCAGATCTAGATATGATCCTATCATCACTGCAACAAAAATGGCTTTTCCTGACATGCCTATAAGGACACTTGTTGGTTTGTGTCATTATAACACTTCAATTATGACATTTGTTATCAACTCAATAATATACACTCTAATTTTTTTTAAATTTTATCTGATATAAGAATGATAATGTGCCTTTAGACTACCTATCATGACATTTGAGAAAATGTGAGATATACCAAAAAAAAAAAAAAAAAGAAAAGGCACAAAACAACATCATATATAGTGAATTGGCAGAAGGTTCATTTGCTGTGAAATATTCAAAACTTTCAATTTGCCGGCCAAAACACTTAGTTAAATTTTGCTTCTTCTGATCTCTCTCACAAAAAACACACTCTCTCCGCAAACTAACTCTCGGCAAATTATCTCTCAGCCAAGTAGGGGCGTTAAGATCGGAGCTTTTTGTAGATGGCACAAGGCGATTGCAGATGGGTAAAGAAACCTGGAAAATAATAGACCACCGAGATACTAAAGGAGACTTTCTTCCACTTTCTTTCCTTTCGCTCTTTCTGGCTCCTGTGACCGGTTAAAGTAACGAACAATCAGCCACGGGAACTGTGAAAGAGTTCCAGACTCTCCTTTCTAAGAGTATCCCGCCTTTCCTAGCATGGGGAGCGATTACAACCAGGACGAGAAAGCCACAGCAGAATCCTTGATTTGTGAGTACCGATACCCATCCTCTAGCCTAGTCTGTTTGAGATTGAAATGGATATAGTAATTGTTTATAATTTGAGTGCACTTGTTGTTTAGCTTTATTCCTCTCGGTTGTCTACTTGGTTCATGTGACTATTTTGTTATGAATTTGTTGTCTATAACCTGTTCGATAAAATGTCTAGACAACCGAGAAACTAGTGAATCTTAGAAAAGTGATTACAAATAAATCTCATGTGACCAGATACTTCGTGTGAAAGAGTCTTAAAAGGATACATGTTGACAATCCAGTGAAAGAGAGAAGCCTAGTTTATTCAATTTGAATTAATCATAGTTTACATAGTTCTGAGGGGTGAAACTTTTTAGTTATTTGCATGTTATTACAAGCTCGACAATTACATCTGCCAAGAAAAATAAAAACTATGACTCCATTGAATTGTGATTAATGGTGGCTTGGTTTGCTAAAGTAGGAAAAGTATGCCTGAGTTGGACTGGGACAAGGTCGAGACTGATAATGGGGAAGGCAGAGCTGATGAGGCTGACATTGAATGACAAGGATGGTCACTTCCAAAAGCCTCCACAGAATCCTCTTGTGGACCTTTTAACGCTGGGAGTCTCAACCTTGGAAGGTGAGAAATGGGCCAAGCGTAGAAGGTTAATTACTCCTGCATTCCACCATGAGAAGCTGCCGGTAATCCCTGCTTTCTTCTAGATTACTGTGGAATTTTTCTGATTTTTTCTGTCCCACTGCAGTGTAAGTAATGCTTCGTGGAATGCTTCATATCTTATTCTGGTAGGCTTTTGGCTATTTAGTTGGTGTCTTATAGACTAATGGTCGGAAAAGCAGGGTAGACAATTCTTTTTTAGTACATTTGACCAAAAAGAATGTGAAACATAACTGAACATTCTTTAATTAAATGCATTGCAATAAAAAGAACTTTTCTGATGTCAACAAGTTATGCTAAGTAAGAGCAAAAGTGCATTATCTTGATCAAGTTGCATGCCTAAACTGTTAATATAAGTGAGCTTCATTCCTATGTACTTATGACTTAAAGAAAGCAGGGAATGGTGCCAGAGTTTTTAGCAAGTTGCTGGAACCTGATTGATCGATAGAAGATGTTGGTTGCATCCGATGGATGGAGTGAAATTGATATCAATCCTGAACTGCAAAGCCTTTCTACCGATGTGATTTCTAGAGCAGCCTTTGGAAGCAGCTATAAAGAAGGGAAAAAGATATTTGAGCTTCAAAAAGACCACCGAGTGCTGGATACATGTTGACAAGCCAGTGAAAGAGAGAAGCCATGTTTATTCAGAAAATTGTTTTTTAAAAAACAAATGATTCAATCATTCCTTTCTTGTTCGGTTGTTTTTATTGTTTTGTAGTAAATTCCTTTCAAGTTTCTGTTTCTATTCCTAATAACTGGCAATAATCTTCTGGTGACTAGTTGGAGCTTCTGTCCTTCTTGATCGTTGAGTTGTGCCTCGTCGGGTATGAAATGCTTAGGTTCCCTCGTCTCTCTTAGCAGCTACAGCAATCTTTACTGCACAATGCTCTGTCAATGGATTCAAGAAGTGGATTAAGACATGCGAGAGGCACACAAACTACACTGAAGATCAGCTTTGGTAAGTGGTTCCTTATGCTTTTCACACATTAATGAATTTTATTGCTAGCTATGATGATCTAATAATCCCAACAAACTTTGTGCATAGATGGAACCAGCTGAAGATTGATGGGGTATTCGTGGTTATGACTGAAGGCTCTCATTTCATTGGAAAGTTTGGAAGCTACTGCAAGTTCTTTCTACTTGTTAGTGAAGAGAATCTTTTAGTTTGTGCACATGAGGATCTTTTAGTTTGTGCACAAGAGAATCTTTCAAATTTGTACTTGTTAGGGATTTGCTATGTTAGTACTTGTTACTGACTTTTAGTTCAATAAATTATATTTGAGCATTGACTTTTGTTTTTAGATTACTATATGCATTCTATTTTTTGGGATAATTTTACAAGTCCTTTGGGTTTCTGATTGACAGAATGTATAGCAGAGAGCACTACCTACAGGTTACTTCTATATTAAAAAAAAAACTCCTGGCAATTAAAAGTGTCAGCATAGAATTCGATATCCTAATGTTATACTATAGCTATCCTGACACGTTTGAATGCTACGAGTCTATCCCCACATTGGAAGGGACAACACTCGTCCGAAGTGTCATAAAAGGTAAAGTGTCAGGTTAAATTATCTATACTGACACTTTTAAATGCCGTTAAAGGTCATTTTTGTTGTAGTGCATATATTTATATTCTAAAGTGTTCTTAATAATCCTATAATATCAATTGTTTAGCATCTTATAAGGATCAAATGATAAAATATTACACGAAATAAAACAAAAAAAAACAGTAACCAGATCTTATCATGTATTTATATTCTAAAGTGTTCTTAATAATCACATAATCAATCAAATTATAAAGTATTACACAAAATAAAACCAAAACGTTTGTACTTAAAGAATAGGAGTTAGTCATGGTGCGACAAATTGCACCACCGAGTTACCTATTCTTTATCATGAGTTAAAGATCCCCTCCCCCAAAACACAGAGATGTTTAAAGACTTCCTTTAGAAGCTGTAAGAAAGGTAAGGAATAGATTATATTATGATTAAAACTATTGTTTGGGAGCCCTCCCAGGCCTCCCTTCACTTGTTTGTCCCCCGTGGAATCCCAACCCATGGGGGGAATTCCTTCAAGCGCCGGGGGCTAAAGTTACAGGACTGTTATGATAAATAACTTAAAGTATAACTCAAAGTAGGGTTTCATATTAACGTAGGACCAAGAAGACTTTCGGATCAACTACGACGAATACGCTACTTCTTCTATTGTGACGGAGTTCAAATCTCAGTCACTAGCTTATGAGTAATGTGCTTAACACTAGCTTGCCGTCCCTCCTTGAACTAAAATTAAGAGGGCAAAAAAAAGGCAAAAATCTTGTTTCTTGGCTTCGAGTTTTACGCCAATATGTTTTCTGAGTTTTCTATCCCAGGTTTGTGGATTAACCCCAAACGGTCGAGAAATGGAAGAGGTGTAGTACAGAAGCAGGACTTTTATGAAGATAATTAACTTGTAGGGACACTTTAATGTGGTAGTACAAACTACAAAAATAATCTACAGGAGAATTCGATGGTCAAGAGAGGGTGATTTTGCGTTCAGTTTTCCTCATAATATGTCTGCTGACATGATTAACATCATTAGGGGACTTCCATTGGTATCGGTACGGGGGATCTAGTGCTATTCCTATTAAATATGATAAAATCCAATGCCAGTGGGGCTAATTTATATGGTATCTGAACAAAACAAACACATTTTTAAGGCCTAACGAACTTGCGATTTACAACCATTCACTCTGGAGAAAATAAATATTTGCCAAAATCAAACCATTGAAGTGGCGAGCTATTCATTCACCTAGTCGAGAAGAATGAAAGAAAAGAAGTGAAAAGAATCAGAATCAAAAGACAAGGATCCCAAATAATTTAGGGTAAAAAACAAAAAAACCCCCTGTGGTTAACCTAATATACAGAAAAGTCCCGCATGGTTTCAAAATATACAACACGACTCTTCATGCTTTTTGAACTAAATTGTAAAGGTGACAGAATCCGTTGAACTTAACGGAAATGGATGAAATTACCAAAATGCACTGATATAATTAAGCAAAAGACAACTCAAAAAAATCATTTGTTTTATTCTCTAAGTAGAGAGAATTAAGGGTTAAGGGATAGAATAGGTATATTTGATAAAAATTAGGCATAAAAAATTTTTTTAGGTTCCAATAAGTCATTTCCGTTAAGTTTAACGGATTCCGTCATCTTTATAATTTAGTTCAAAGTATGAGGTGTTGTATTGTATATTTTGAAACCATAGGGGACTTTTCTGTATATTAAACTTACCACATGGGCTTTTTTGTTTTTTACCCAATAATTTATAGTAATTTGAATCCTAGTTAAAAATGGTATAGCTGCTTTGATTAAGTTCCTATCCTAACCAGTTGGCATGCAAAAAGGACCTCCAAAAGCACAGAGAAAAATGTCATCCATAAAATTGATTCACGCCAAAATGGATTTAAAAATTGTACATTATCCGTGAACTACAAGTTGAGCTTGTTTTTCAATTAAGGTGATGATGACATACCATAATGTCCTCTGTAAAGGAGACATCCGCTGGACTTCATTTTTAATCGGGCATTTAAAAAATGTTACAGTCTTCTAAACAAATTGCCATTTCATTATCAATAGCATTATACTCGTACAACAACTACACCACATATCTAAGTTAGCATTCGTCTTACAAAATTGGCATGACATGAATCCAGCAAAGTAATCCAACGAAAAAGATACAAATGCATTGGTTCATATCTCACTTTAACAACAAAAGTCGTAGTATTACTATTAAAATCAGCACTTCAATATACCAAGATGATGAACTCTCTCTAGTGCTTTTTATTTTAAATAGAAAAAAGTTTGAATGAGTTCGACTTCGATCATAATTACGAGTCAAGGCATGTTTCACTTGCAAGAGTTCTTATAGATTATATATCCATCAATGCAGCCTTTACATTAACAACAAAATTTGAACACACGATTTTTTGTGAGGAATTGATCCGTTCTTACCGACTAAACTAACTTGTGTGAAACTTAAGTAGAAAAGATTTTACTTAAAATGGACAAATTTTATACTTTAAAAACTAAAGTGTCTCACTTTAAACTTTAAAAATTTAAGTGAAAATCTAAGTATAGATTAAAAGTCCAAAGTAAAATTAACTCTTATTTTTAAACTTCCAAGGGTTAAAGACCCCATAGGTTGTGAACTCTTAACATGAAATAAGGATTTAACACTTTTATATATGTCTGCCTTCGCGAAGATAATAAAGTTGAAATTAAGTAGAATCAATAAACCAATGCCTCAGGAACACCGTGGGCTCCAAACCGCTAATCCATCATAACAAGAATACAAAGTAGGCACAAATTGTTGTATATGCCAATGTATAATCTTAAAGGTCCTCCCTCAAGTTTCAAGTATAAGCCTAATTAATTAACATTGTTTAGGTCAAAACAAGATAAGATCTACCCAATTCAGTATATCCATCCCACTTCAGCAAAGGTTATACCCTTCTTAAAGAAACCAGCTTTTTGATAAAAAAAATTAGAAAAACAAACCTGAAGAGGCATAAGGACAAAAATCCAGATTAAAAAAAAGGATAAATTACAAATAACTCCACTATAGATTCATCTATTAGTACATGACCCTTTAATATTTTAAAATGTCAATTTCACTCTCTATAGTTTCATGTAAAGTCAAAACTTGACAAAAAAAAAACCTATATAACGTCGTTAATTAAAATACCAGTAGTGTTCTTACTTAAATACTAAATCAAATGACAAATATAATCGCCTGAGATAGAACCATTAATGGAGGGTCATGTGGACAAACGCAATATTTGTGTAAATCATAGAGGGATTAAGTAGATATTATGATTTGATCACATGCACTTTTGGAGCGCATCTATCTTGCATAATTGCCATAACTAATTGTACATTCCAACCATTTTTTGCTTTATAGAAAACTATATAAGGGTTATATAGCTATCTTAAAATCTTAAAGGGATCATCTGACATTATGTAAAGTCACAGAAAGTTATATATAATTTACCCTAAAAAAATCACCAGCTGGCACGCAAAGAGACATCCGAAAGCACAATTAAGAAAATCACGAAAAGAATAGATTTACACTGAAATGGATTTATATCATTGCACATTCATGAACTGCAAGTTGAGCTTGTTTTTAATTGAGGTGATGATGACATACATAAAATAAAAGTTTGATTAGTACTGAAAACTGTAGGCAGTAGGTGCTATTTAGAAAGTTATGGCAATTTTTGAAATTTTGGTAATACACAAACACACACACATATACACATATACATATATACATTTATACATATATACTTACTGTACCAGTGTGATATATAGGAGATAAGAAAGTGATTATATATCAAGTGAATATTTTAAAAACTTTTTGGCAAAAACTCACCATACAAAAGCAAAATCTTGATAAGCTACAAGGATGCTCAAAC